AGAGGTCATTTGATAGCCTCAGAGTGGAGTTACAGATGGTCATAAGCACTATGTGGGTGCTGAGAAGGAGTTAAATCCCAGTGCTCTGGAAGAGCAGACAGCCCCCATTTGTAACTTTGGCTATAAATTCTAGATGTATACCCAACAGTTAAGTTAGCACCTTGAAATTCACATGTCTACCAATAAACTCTTAATCCCTCCATTGCTTAATTTGTTCTGTCTTCCATCATTTCCAGCTCAATAGGTGATGGCCCTGGCGTTTATCTTCAGGGCAAAAACCTTGGAACTGAGCAAGGCTACTCTCTGTAGACACCTGGTGTTGTAATTTTAAAAATACCACAAAGAAAAGTCTTGCCATACAACAGGACTCACATAGGAGGTTTATTGGAAGAGGAGAGAGAAGGGGGAGAGAAGGAGGCAGAGACTGGTTCCTGGGGACAAGAGTGGTGGGAGAGGAACAGAAAGGGAGAGAAGGAGGGAGAGAGAGAGAAAGAGAGAACTAGGAGAGAAAGACAGAAGGTGAGCAGGGCCCTTTTAAAAGGGAACACAGTGAATATGCACAGGTGGTGCTCTTAGCGGCTGCAGCTAAGGGTGTATCCTATCAGAACCCCAAGGGCAGGCCAGTGCAGATACCAGGCATACATGCAGTGCACAGACATACAGGTAAAGGATTCACATACATAGAATAAAGTAACAATATATATTTTTCTTGGGGTGAGGGAGACAGGGATTCTCTGTGTAGCCTGAGCTGTCCTGGAACTCACTCTGTAGACCAGGCTGACCTCAAACTCAGAGATCTTCCTGCCTCTGCCTCTGCCTCCTGAGTGCTGGGATTAAAGGTATAGTCACCACCACCTGGCTATGTCTTTTAATTTTAATTTTGGAATCAACCTTTTGGCTCATGGGTTTTACACTTCATGTTAGGCTATCAGCAAACCCTGGTCCTCAGTCTGTGAGGTTACAGAGAAGCTGGTCCCTTCCCCCTCCCCCTGCTGTTCTGTGGTAGTGGGAGTCACTGTCACCTCTTCCCAAGTAATCTCAGAGCTTTTTCCTTCCACCCCGCCCCCACCACACAGTCTGCTTCCTAACAGTAAAGACCATCCATTCTAAAAGACCATCCATCCTAAAAATGAAGTTGGGGCTGGAGAGATGGCTCAGTGATTAAGAGCATATATCATTCTTGCAAAGGACCTGAGTTCAATTCCCTGCACCCACTTCAGGCAGCTCTCAATTGCCTTGTAATTCCAGCACCTCTGGCCTCCAAGGACACACCCACAGTTTAAAAAGTAAACAAATAAAAATTAATTTCCCTAGTCAGATCTTTCCAATGATTCCTTATGGTTACAGTGGCTTACAAGGCCTCATTGGATCTGACCCTGTTCCTTCCTGATTCTTCAATTTATTATCCAACCAAATTTCCCTGGGAATTACTCCACCACACTGACCTTTCTGATCCTTTGAATATACCAAGTGTGTTCCTTTCTCAAGATCTGTGTACCTTTCTGTTCTTTGGATTGTTCTTCCTTGGGTATCTTGGAGTTTTGTTATTGTTGTTTTGAGGTAGGTTCTCACTATGTACCCCTGGCCAGCCTGGAATTCACCATGTATACCAGGCTTGCCTCATAGCCTCCAACTCACTGAGATCCATTTGCCTCTGCCTATCCTGTGTTCAAATTAAAGGCAAGGCCCATGGGGTGCCACTCCTAGCTCTGGCCTCGAATTCTCTCTCGTGTTAAAATTTATTTTCCTAGATCTACTTATTTTTCTGTATGGTATGAATGTTTTGGCTGCATGCACTCACATGCACCAACCACCACACTCATGCCTGTTGGATCACTTGGAACTAGGTTTATGAATGTTTGTGAGCCACTATGTGGGTGCTGGGATTTGAACCTGGGGCTTCTGCAAGGGCAGCAAGTGCTCCTCACTGCTGATCTCTGAGCCCCATGGCCTCGAATCCTTGATCTCCCTGCCTCAGCTTCCTATTACAGGTGCATGTGACCTGGAGCTCTCTGACACTTTTGGCTATGTTATACTTCAAAGGATTGAAGTAGAAATCCCATTGGAATAGGTATAGGAGAGAGATGGGGTTGGGGGAGGGAGCTTTACCTAGGCCATGGGATCTAGAAGGAGCGCTCTGGACCAGGGCTCAGAGTTCTTGGGCACGACTTTGAAGTGCAGGCAGGCAGCAGGCAGCAGGCAATGCCCTTTGGGCTGGGGATGGGCAGCCCATCCACATCCATGGGCCTCAAATAGACAAGGGAGTAAAATTCCCTAGGGTGCTCCACAAGGTTCTTTGGGGCTAACTGTTGAATGTGGGGGTTTCCTTGGAGTCTAGTAGATTTGTCTGCAACATCTCTGGCGCCTCTGGGTGGTGGTCTTCGGTACTGCAATGGTGAGGTGGAGGGAGGCGACACGATTGAGCTCACCGCCACAGGCACATCCATCCCTCCCGGGCCTATAATTTGGGTTCCCTGAGCTGGCCGCCCCTATCAGCGGCTTAGCAACAGATGAGTCACCCAAGACCCCAGCCAAGGCAAACATCAGGGGAGGGGGAGGAGGAGGAGATTCCCGAGTGTAGCCCGGCTTTAGCCACCGCCTCAGTTGCTTGATTCCCCCATCTCCAGAGGCCCCCACTCTTCTACTTGACACTCCTCCACCCTTCAGGGCTTCGATGTTCTTCCCACAGGGTTTTGCTACACTCTTCATCCTCATGAGGGGAAGAGCAGACCTCTACTTTTCTCATCAAAAGGAAGGTGGACCAGGTCGCTCCCATTTCCTCCCTGCAGTGATGGCAGTCCCCTTTCCTTCCCCCTCTTGTCTTGGTCTCAACCCTTGTCAATGTCTCTCTGGTTCCTGCCCCTCCCCTTTCTTGGAGCTGGCTGCGTGCTTGGGGTATTAGGCAATGGGTGTGCACCCACAGCCCTCTCCAGGCCCCGCCTGTCCCACCGCCCTCTAGCTGCCTGTGGGTCAGTGCTCAGGCCAGACGGTCGGCAGGAGGGCACCGTGGGCCAGCTCAGGCCACCCACTGCCTGCCTGTAGCCACTATCAAAGAGAAAGAAGAGAGCACCACAGGATGAGCTCTTAGGCTTGGGACAGTCCTATATGGGGAGCCCCCAGGTCACTGATTTGAGGGCCTGGCTGCTAATCTTCCTCGGCCCCTTCATTATTATTAATTTTTAAAAATTTCATTCTTTTTCCTTTTCTTTCTTTCTTTCTTTCTTTCTTTTTTCTTTTTTTTTTTTTTCTTTTTTAAGATGGAGTATTTCTACATAGTCCTGGCTGTCCTGGACCTCACTCTGTAGCCCAAGCTGGCCTCGAACTCACAGAGCTCCACCTGCCTCTGCCTCCCACGTGCTGGGATTAAAGGAGTGGCCACCACTCCCCAGTTTGCCATTTCTCCTTTGTTACATCTAACTAAATGCTGGAACCAGACATATATCATCAGAAAGGGGATGAATAAGAACAAGGCAAAATAAAATCCAAAGTATGAATGGGCCCACAGCCTGTGGAGAAACACAAATGTCCACGAGATGCTGCTGGAGAAAAGGGCCTGGGAAATACCCTTCCAGGGGCCTGGGTGAGTCTCGGGCTGACAGGTAGAAGAAGGATGGGACACTGGTGAGGATCCTGGATTCTGGAGTGAGGACAGAAGCCACCTCAAAAATCATACTTGGTTTGGCTTTCTTTCCCTAAATAAGAAGGAGGTCTTGGGTCACTTTTCCCTACTCCAGAGGTGGTGGAATCGGAAAGAGTACCCTACTGTGGTGGTCCAAGCTGTATAGCATACTGGCTCTTAGCACCCTTTGCTCCCCAGCACTCAGTGAGTAGCCCTGCAGACCTAACCTCCCCTGTACTGTTTGGACACCTAGCCAGTGGTGTCTCTCCAGCACAAGGCAAGATTCAAAAGAATGCAGACTGGGGCTGGCTGCCCAGCATTGCTGCTTGCCACCACCAATGAAGAGGTGGTTGTGGCTGTGGGTACCAGCCCTGTGCTCCTGTTTCCTGGGGAGTCGATGTGCTTTGGGTGCACAGGGCCAGCCATGCTGTGCTTGGGGCTGCGGTCTGGCAGGGGCTTGGGGTGGTTGGGAAGCCTGAGGCCCCTCTCTGGCAAAAATAGTCCGCAGTGGTTAGAGCTAGGAGGGTGAGTCAGGCGGGAGTGCGGTGGCACCTAACCCCTTCGCTGCCGCCAGAGGTAAGGCGTTTCTGCCTCCGCCCGCGCACGTCCAGGCTAGGTTCTTCTCTGGCTGCCCGGGTGTTGGGCTCCATTTGGGATCCCAAGACCTCCCTCAACCCTTATGAAGCAAATGTGAGAGCATTTGGGTCATCTCAAGCGTTAATTCAGGAATTCCGGTTAGGCGACCCCTGGAGAGAATGTCAAGAAGAGAAGGGAAGCTTAGAGGGAGACTGGATATCTTCGGGGCTACCCAAGCTTTTGAAGGAGGCCAAAGTCTGAGGCCAAAGCTGACCCCTCCCAAGGGGCAGGCCTGTGGCTCTAAGGTGGGCGGGAGCCAAGCGGTACAGTGGTTGCTCGCTTGCGGGCTCACAGTGCCCTGATGCGCACAGGCTCGTGGGCTCTACGAGAGACTGTCAGAAACCCGAAGGTCGTCCGGCTCTGTCCTCAGAGTGTTAAAGGGGCTTTCTAGTCACCTACTCTCGGTGGGCAAACTGAGGCAAAGAAAAACGATGAAAGATATTGCCACCGGGGCCAGGTCCTGGCACCTTAGTCAGGGTCACTGCACTCTCCAGACAGTGTTGGCGACCCCAGAGCAGGTGAGAGGAGCTCCGGCCACTTTCCCCTGAAGTGGGGCTAATCGTGATCTCGGGCTTCAGAGAAAAGGGTGTGTGTGTGTGTGTGTGTGTGTGTGTGTGTGTGTGTGTGTGTGTGTGTATACACGTTTTGGAGGGGGGGAAGCGACTACGTTCCCCTGGTCAAGGCAGGGGGTGGGGTGCGGGTGGGGTGGGGATGCCCCGGGCTCTGGGAGGGGCCGCAGCTCCGTCAGTTCCAGCAGAACCACCCGTGAGTTAGGTCGAGCCGAGCCAAAGCCCCCGGTGCTTTGTCGCGGGTTCGCTCGCTGGCTGTCTCGATCACTCCCTCCCTTCTACCCTCCCTTCCTCCCGGCGGCCGCGGCGACGCTGGAGAAGCGGCAAAGAGGAGTGGCCCAGTGCTGGAAGAATGCTGCTCTGCCGAGGGGGCCGAACCCGACCCAGTCTCCCCACAGTTTAAGCCAGCGCGAGCCGAGCCCAAGTGACCCACCCGGGAGTGTTGTGGATTCTGCACCTGAACCGCTGGAGGTAATGGGGCGGGAGAGAGCAGGGTGGGAAGAGACTAGACAGGCACGCGGGCAGATAGACAGACAGACAGGCGTCCATCCTCAAGAGCACAGGCACGCCAAGAAAGCAAGAGGTAACGCTAAAGGTACCGACAGAATAAAGGGGTGCCTTCGGACTTAGAGGGCTAGGGGCACCAGCAAAGGGGTGAGGATTGGGGTGGGACCCGTGGGGACCAGACGGGTGGTGCTCAGCAGTGGGAATGTGTAGTTGGGTAAGGGGAGTGGATAGAGAAGTGGACTTAACTAGAGCCCCCCCCCGCGTTTGCGGGGTACCTGGGGAGAGTACCTCGCTTCCCTAGTCGCCTTTGCTGCACCTGAACCTTTTCCCCTGTTGGGCGTGGAGGTCACAGTGTGGGTCAGAGCGCCTGGTCTCAGACCCTTCTAACCTAGCTTGCTTGGTGTTGGCAGCGTGAGGAGGCGACACCCCTCCAGGTGGTGGGGAACCCCCTTCTGGTCCCTCCCTCTCACCCTGTAAGGGCGGGTAAAATAGTCGTGGGGCCCTCGAGGAGGGAACAGTTGGTGAGGAGGGATCGAGGGTCTGAGAGGAACTGTCTCAAGTCCGCATGTGAGTGTCCCAGCTGTGTCTGTCTGGGTTGGACTCCAGGGCTGCTCCGGAGGGCCCTGAGCTGCTTGGATCCTTTTCTTTGAAGGGTTCCAGAACCCAGACACTGGGGAGGGGTGAGAAAAGTCAGTGGGGCCACAGTGGTGGCTTAGGGAACCGGAATAGCACATCCCTCGGTTCCAGGGAGCCATTCTATTCTTCATCACAAATCCCTTGTCCTGCAGGCGCTGACTGATTCGCCCACCGGAGCCTCCGGGCTTCGACATGCTGGAGGAGCCCGGGTCTCGGCCTCCGCCCTTGGGCCTCGCGGGTCTCCTGTTCTTGGCTTTATTCACTCGGTGAGCATTTTTTCCAGTTGGGGGAAAAGGCACCAACCTGGGCTAGAGGGTAGCAGGAGGGCGTGCGACTAGACCACAGACCCCCAAGACGCCTCTTGCCTTGTTCTCAGGGCTCTAAGCAATGAGATCCTGGGCCTGAAACTTCCCGGGGAGCCTCCGCTGACGGCCAACACCGTGTGCTTGACCCTGTCGGGCCTGAGTAAGCGGCAGCTGGGCCTGTGCCTACGCAGCCCCGACGTGACGGCGTCCGCGCTCCAAGGGCTGCACATCGCGGTTCACGAGTGTCAGCACCAGCTGCGAGACCAGCGTTGGAACTGCTCGGCCCTGGAGGGCGGGGGCAGGCTGCCGCACCACAGCGCCATCCTCAAGCGCGGTGAGCATGACCGGGTGGCTTGCTGTGCTGCTGCCCAGGGGTTGGGGGCAGGCCGAGGCGCGCGCGGAGGCGGGAAGGGACCGGTTCGCGGCTGCGGGAGGGGCCTCGCCGGGAATTTCCCCAGGAGCGGCGCTCAGCTGGGTCTGGTCACCCGTCTGGGCCTCTGCCTGCCTGCCTTCCACCTGCATCGCTGGCTAGGCAGCTGGGTCCCTTCTCCCCTACCCTAGGGCCTCCCTTTTCTGCCTCCACCCAACTCGATCTGGGATGCACCTGTGAACAAGAGATGCCCCCAACCCAAGAAGCTTCAAACACCCCCTCTACCCCCTATTTTCTCTCCCCTCCCTCTCCACCCAGACAAGCCCAGGCTGGTGTCCCCAGAGTCTCAGCGGGGGTGGGGTGACGCCCCCAACCGTTTAAGGGTTAAACCTGCTCCCCTAATTGCTGGGGTTCCCAGGAGCCAAAGCTGGGAACAAAGACCCTGGTGGCTTTGAAGCTGGGGAGCAGCCCCCTCCTCTGTGCTGTGGGGGCCCCAGGTGTCCCTCACCTGAACAGGTGAGGAATGGCTGGAGGGGCAGAGAACAGGTCACTGCTGGCCTGGTCTAGATGGAAAGGTCTGGGAGGCTCTGCTGTCTCTCCCCGTGCTCAACTGGAGTTTCCTCCCCCAGGAGTAAAGATCCAGGGGGCTCAGTCCAGGGTAGGGTAGTGCTTTGGGGACTACAGGGTTAATAGGCAGCTGCTGCCATCTGCAGGGGAATTCCCAAGACGTGTACAAACAGCCTCACCCTTGGATGGTTGGGGGATCTTGAGGCTGGCCCTGGAGCCCTAGATTCCCTGGTAAGAGACGCCTGGCCTCCAAAAAGTCTTTCATCTTCTCAGGGCTCCAAAGAGCTCTTGCTTAAAGCAGTGAGAGGGACCCCCTCCTCTGCAGGGCCTGGTGTAGTGGAAGGGTTTGGCACCCAAATGGTGAGGATGTCCCTCTAAGACTGGGAAAGATTTGTCCTATTGGAGTCTCCTCCTCCGGTGACCCCCAAAACATAACAAGGAGGCTAACCTCTTAAAAGGGCCTTGGGGAAAATCGCTCTGGCCTTTCTCCTCCTCCCAGTGTTTTATAAGGTAATAGCAGGTTAGAACAAACATAAAGGGCAATCTTGAAGGGCAAATATAAAACTAGAACCTGGGAAGGGGATAGGCAGTTCTAGAGTGTTAGGATTGTTACTGTGGTTGTACATGGTAACTTGCTTAAAAGACTCATTGAATAAAGTGTGTGTGGGAGAATCCTAAAACCAAAGATCCCCCCCTCCACTCCCTACCTCTTGCTAAGCTCCTTGCAGGGTTGGGGAATTTCTCAGGCTTTTAGATATTGAACTCCTGGAACACACCTTCAGAAGTCCTCAGGACTCCCTGTGACTCATTGGAAACCTAGAGGGCTCTCCAGGCCAATGTTTCTCAACCTGTGGGTCGTAACTATTACAGGGGAATGAACGTCTCTTTCACAGGGGTCACATATCAGATATTTATATTATGATTCATAACAGTAGCAGATATAAGATAGCAATGAAATAATTTTATGGTTGGGGGGAACTGTGGTAAATGATCTCAGCATTGGGATGGTTGAGAACCACTGCTCTAGGCTCTCTCTTACATCCAACCCCAAAAATGACAGCTTACAGAGGAGATTGGGCTTGAGCAACACCTTGACCCATGGGTCTCTTTTTATAGTTGAGAGAACTGAGACCTAGCACTATTTCTTGTCTCAGGATATTGTCCCAAATGCTCAGTTGGTAAATGATGGAGTCAGGATTTAGTTAGAAATTTCTGACATTGGCTGGGCAAGGTGGTGGCTCACATCTGTAATCCTAACACTTGGGAGGCTGAGGCAGGATGTTTGTCAAGAGTTCAAGGCCACCTTGGGCTACATGGCAAGACCTTATCTCAAATATCTATACCTATGTCTATATAGATATATCTATGTATATCTATAGGTAGATATTGGTATTGGAGGGTGGCTGTTTTTCCCCCACCTGCTTCCCCCCTTAGCTGCCTGTCAACCTTACCTCACACCCATTTCCTCCCCAGGTTTCCGAGAGAGTGCTTTCTCATTCTCCATGCTGGCTGCTGGGGTCATGCACGCTGTTGCTACAGCCTGTAGCTTGGGCAAGCTGGTGAGCTGTGGCTGTGGCTGGAAGGGTAGTGGTGAACAGGACCGGCTCCGGGCCAAGTTGCTGCAGCTTCAGGCACTGTCTCGGGGCAAGAGTTTTCCTCACTCACAGCCCAGCCCTGTTCCTGGCTCAGGCTCTAGCCCTGGCCCCCAAGACACATGGGAATGGGGTGGCTGTAACCACGACATGGACTTTGGAGAGAAGTTCTCTCGGGATTTCTTGGATTCCAGAGAAGCTCCCAGGGACATCCAGGCAAGAATGAGAATCCATAACAACAGGGTGGGGCGCCAGGTATGTGTCTTCATCCTGTCCTAGGTGTCTCTCACTGTTTTGTTTTGAGACAGGGTCTGGCTATGTGGTACAGGCTAGCCTCAAATTCATTATCTGCCTTAGTCTGAGTGCTGTGATTGTAGGTGTGGCCACCAAGCCCAACTTTTCTCAGTCTCTCTTCTCCACCCTCCTGAGAGGTCCCACAGAGTAATAGGATGAGGTATGATGAGTGATTACCACTTGTTACAAGCTTGTCACTAGTAAGTCACCCAATACATGTTCAGAATCTCTAGGAAGTTGCCTGATGGTACTTAAGGCTGAGCTAGCATATAGTATCTTATTTTATCATTTAAAACATTTAATGTGTAGGATTGTTCTGCCTGCATGTATATGTCTGTGTAATACTTCTGTACCAAGAGAGGTTATTGGATTCCTTGGAACTGGAGTTACAGACAGTTGAGTCTCCATGAGGCTGCTGGGAGTTTAAACCTAGTCCTCTGGAAGAGCAGCCAGTGCTCTTAACTTTGGAGACACATCTCCAGCTCCATATGTAGTATATTCTATATGTGCCTAGTACTCAGCTCATTGCATAGAAACTATTCCAACATTTTATCGGTGTTTACTCTGGAAGAAGCACTGGACTGGGATTTACAAATCTAGGGATTGTCAGCAGCTCCACCTTCACAAAGGAGGCCTTTGGGCTGGTGGCTAACTTTCCTTACAGTCTGCTTGTCCCTTCTTGAGTTCAGTTCCCTTCCTTCTCCTGTGTCCCTGTGCTATTCATCCCCCACCCCCAATCCCTTCTCTTTATTCATGCTGCTCTGATGTTCTAGGTGGTAACCGAAAACCTGAAGCGGAAATGCAAGTGCCATGGCACATCAGGCAGCTGCCAATTCAAGACTTGTTGGAGAGCAGCCCCAGAGTTCCGGGCCATCGGGGCAGCATTGAGGGAGCGGTTGGGCAGAGCCATCTTCATTGATACCCACAACCGCAATTCTGGAGCCTTCCAGCCCCGCCTACGTCCCCGTCGCCTCTCAGGAGAGTTGGTCTATTTCGAGAAGTCTCCTGACTTCTGTGAGCGAGACCCTACCGTGGGCTCACCAGGCACAAGAGGCCGGGCTTGCAACAAGACCAGCCGCCTGTTGGATGGCTGTGGCAGCCTGTGCTGTGGCCGTGGGCACAATGTGCTCCGGCAAACACGCGTGGAGCGCTGCCACTGCCGTTTCCACTGGTGCTGCTACGTGCTGTGTGATGAATGCAAGGTCACAGAGTGGGTAAATGTGTGTAAATGAAGGAGAGCCTCACCCTGGGACTAGGGAAGAACACTGCGTGATGGGTGCTCCTTTTCAGCCCTTTGCTCTGATTTCTGCCCAGGGTTAATCATGGCCCCTGGAAGCTCAAAGTATCTTCCTGGAAACAGCTTTGGGGGAGTTGGGTCAGGTGAAATCTGTGATGAGCAGCCTTTTGTGGGGAAAGTCGTCATCATATTCTGTTCTTAAACAGACTAGGATTAAATGCACTGTATTGTTCTCCTCTTCTCAACCCCCAGGGTCTCTTGGGCCCATATTTATACTCCTTTAGATAGGGAGGCTATCATTTGGCCTTTCATCTTCCTTGGAGGGTACCATCAGGCATTGTGTGGCATCATTAAGACCTGTATGTAGAAACAGTTCACTCCTTCCTATTTGTGGTTCTCAAACTCCTCTAGGACAACTCAGAACCTCTTCTTGAGGGGCCACGGGTAACAATAATGACAGAGCGCTGTGGCAAATTCTCCTCTTGAGTCCTCAGACAGCTGTCTTGTCAGGCTCTTAGGGAATTGTCCTTCCATTCTGTTGTTGGAAGGATCCCTCCAAAGGACCCTGGAGGCTCTTCTTTCTTCTTCAGCAGGAAGGGTAGGAATGGATAATTTATTGTACTGAGACATAGTCTTGGTTCCTGTTTGAAACTAAAATAAATTAGCTTACTGGACTGGTTGCTGGTGGATGCAGATGGTGGTTATGTCTAGCCACCTTTGAGGTAACAGCCTGTGGTTTGGTTTGGTTTTTTGTTTTTTCCTATGTGAAACCTACACTCCTGCACTCTGTGACTTTTTATGTATATCCTGCTGACTTCCACCAAGGGTTCAAAATGATGCTCAGTGACTGAGTTCAGATGTTTAGTGTGTAAGACCAGAGTGGGCTTCTGGGAGGACATATAGATCCAAGTGTACATAGGTCCTTCTCACCCAGAGCCCTCAACTCTGTGTATCACCATCATTGCTTAGAAAAAGATTGGCAACTTTTTTCTCCCTGAAAAGGGCTAGATGATAAATATATGAGGCTATTTATATTGTGGTCTTTATGTCATCTACCCATCTCTACCATAATTACTCTATTCTGCTGTTATAGACCCAAAATAGTTATGGGCAGGGGATGGACAAAAGCAGACACAGACCACACATAATTGGATGTGTATAGCTAGGTTCAATCCAGTCACAAAAATGGTTTTCAGAAGAGAGACTGCTCCTCTGACTGTCATTCGTTGACCCCCCTCCTATACAAGGTCAAATCTACTCTGGGAGTTTCAAGTCTTAAATGTCACTTAACAATGAATGTGAACTTGGAAGAGCAGGTACCATTGTCTCTAAGTTCCAAGCCAGAGAATCTGGGGGGTACATGCAAGACTGATGGGAAAACATGAAAGGGATTCCTGCCTCAAATGCAAATTATTTATGTAGGCTTCCCTCATTCTCTTGAGTTTTGGGATTCCAGGTGGGCCCTGTCAGGCCCAACTGAAATGAGATTTTTCTACCAAAACTAACATTCTCTGCCATTGAATTATTTGCATATATATTTTGTTCTTTATTCATTGTTCTTTTGTATTTAATCCAAGTAAAAATAATTCCTCTATCTTTTACATTTTTTTCTACATTTATTTGTGGGTGTACTCAGGACGTAGAGTCAGACAGATCTCTGTGAGTTCAAGGCTACCCTGGTCTACACAGTGAGTTCCAGAACAGTCATGGCTCTGTAGATAACCTTTCTCAAAAACAAAACAACAACAACAAAATTTTGGGGGAGTTGGAGAGACGGTTCCATGATTAAGAGTACTTGTTGATCTTGCAGAGGACCTGGGTTTGACTCTCAGCTACCACATGGCAGCTCTCAACTGTCTGTAACTCCAGTTCTAAGGAATCCAACACCCTATTCTGACCTCCACAGACACTAGGCATATGCATGGTACACAGACATACATGTAGGCAAAACACTCATACACATACATAAGTAAAAAAATCTAAAATAATATGTTTATGTGCATGTATGAGTATCCACAAAGAGTCTTGGATCTGCTGGAACTGGAGTTTTAGGGTGGTATGAGCTGTCTGACATGGGTTCACTGTTGAACCATCTTCTCAGCTCCATGGCAACAGATGTCAGACACTTGCTAACCCAATGTGTGGATGAAGAGAGGAGGAAGAGAGAGGGGACTGAAGATCGACTGAGAATAACAGGGAGTATCCAGACTGGGGATGCCATACCTTCCTGAGGAAGCCCTCACTCTCCAATGGAATTGTGGCCAGAGTATTTTAACTTTTTCCTGTTTCCTTCCTCTGTAGTACCATTGGTTCCCTTTCTCTTCTAGCTTTCCCTTTTCTTTCATCACACGCTCTGTGGCAAACTTAAGCCCCAAACCACAACCTTGACAAATTCCAATTGGATTTTGTCAGCAAGGCCAACACCCCTCCTGGCACAAGCACTGGGCTGAGGCCCGGAACTGGGGTCATGACAGGGTGGGAGTAGGCAACCTACAGAGCTGGTGGCTACAATTTCAGCTTTTACTGGGCTCCAGTGGCAGCTAGAGGGAGGAGAGACTGATGCGCTGTGTCAGGCTGCTGGGGCTCCTGTGACTGCAGATGAGCACTGTGCTCCACTCTTAGTCACATGGCTAGTAAGGTGGAGAGTGGTAGGGAGCAGCTAGCTGTCAGCAAGGTAGCACTTCTCCTAGCTCTGCCTGTGCCATGGCCAACCCCTCTGATGCTACAAGTGACACTTTCTTCTCCATACTCCCGGACAGTGAGGGACAGATCTGAGAGAGTCTTCAGTCCCATCTATCACCCCAAATTAAGTAGCAATTACTCCTAGCCATATGAAGCTGCCAACCATTTTAATCTTTCTTTCACTATGGCACACAAATGAAGGATTTAAACATCATCAACAGATTCCAATTCCTTGTTGGGGTTCTTCTATGAGGCATGTTGGTATGGTTGGGGTACTGGGGAGTAGGGTGAGCGGTTATAAAGTATATTTTTGGCGGTGAGTGTGGTGTATATAGCCTGGTGGAGTGTGGTTAGAAAAGTTTTAGGAAAGAAGTTGAAAGGGTAATAGTCACATAAAAGGTATGTCACAGGACCTACCCCATGTGTGTAGCTGTCTTAGGGTTTTTATTGCTGTGATAAACACCATGACCAAAAGCAACCAGAGGCAGAAAGGGTTCATTACACCTCACAGATTATATAGTCCATCACGGGGGGAAGTCAGAGCAGGAGCTCAGAGCAGGAACTTAAAGGCAGGAACTGAGGAGAGGCCATGGAAGAAGGCTACTTAGTGACTTGTTCCCCACAGCTTCCACTGCCCACTTTAATTTTTTAACTAAAAAAACTTTTAATAATTTAATTTACTTTATTTTTTTATGTGCAATAGTGTGAGGGTATCAGATCCCCATGTACCTGAATTTATAGATAGTTGTGAGCTGCCATGTTGGGGCTGGGAATTGAACCTAGGTTTTCTGGAAAACCACTGAGCCATCTCTCCAGCCTCTCAGCCTGCTTTCTTTTCTTTTCTTTCTTTTTTGAGTCAGGGTCTCTTCTATAGAACATGCTATGTAGGCCAGGCTGGTCTCCTAAGGACCTGGATTAGAGGCGTGCACCAGTATGGGTGACTCAGCTGCTTTCTTAATTTTAACATAGTTTTATGAGTATTGAGTGTTTTGCTTATATGTCATGTTTTCTCTGCTCCCACCCCCAGCTGAGGACCAAAGTCAGCCCTTGCACTTCTTGCTAGGCAAGCACTCTACCACTGAGCTAAACATGTATGTCTCTGTACCAAATGAGTACAAGTGACAGCAGAGGCCAGAAGAGGGCATAGGATTCCCTGGGACTGGAGTTTCAGATGGTTGTTAGCCACCATGTGGGTGCTGGGAATCAAATGTGGGTCCTCAGACAGACAGTGCCCTAACCTCCTAACCATCGCTCCAGTCTTTATCTGATTTCTTATATAATTCAGGGGTGGCACTGCCCACAGTGATCTGGGTCCTCCCACATCAATCATCAAACAAGAAAAGTGTCCTACAGGCTTGCCCACAGGCCAATCTGGTGGGGCGTTTTCTCAAATGCGGTTCCCCCTTCCCAAATGATTGTAGTGTGTGTGAAGTTGACATCAAACTAGCTAGTACAACTGACCCTTTGTCAGCTTGACACATAAATACATTACTCAACTGAAACTTTTCCCTTTTCAGCTGCCCCCAATATGGCATTTAATATGAATGTAATGATATAAAACATTCCAATGTTTAAATTTTCCACACTTGTTAAAAATTCAAACATTAAAAAAATCTGGTATCTTTAAAAACGTTTCATAGTCTCTTTTAAAGTTCAAAGTTTCTCTAAAATATCCAAAATCTCTGGAAGACTCCAAAGTCTCTGATTTACATACTTTTGTATACTTCAAAAAGGAAAAACCAGGGCAATTACAAACAGATCAATGCAAAACCAAAATCCAACCCTGTAAAGAGTTCAGTGCTTGAAGAGGGGGCCCCATTCTCACGGCCCCAAAGAGCCCATTTCTCCAACTTTGCTATCTTGTCTCCTGGGCTCAGGCCAGCTCTACTCCACAGTTACTCTGTCCTTGGCAGTTTTCCCACGGTACTGGCATCTCCAAAATGCTGAGGTCTCTCTCTGCTGCAACAGGCCTTCACCCACAGCTCTTCTCTGGCTCTTTTTAGGGACTCTCAAATCCTGCCACATGGTGCTGAGCCTCAATTTCAATGAGTCCTTCAATCCTGGGGCTTCTACTGCAGTGAAGGCTGTACCTTCATCAATGGCCTCGCACAATGCCAAGCCTTAGCTACTCTCTATGACCTCTTTGTACTGACTGGAGACTCTTACATGTTACCAAATTCAGCTGACAGCGTGAGGTACAGACTTAGCCCCCGGACCTCAGATTCTTGCTAACCTTGAGAAAACACTAGTAGATTTCAACCTAGTGATGCTATTCTCATCCTCCTCTTCTCCTTTTTCTTCTTAAGACAGGGTCTCACTATGTACCCCTTGCTGTCCTAGAACTTACTCTGTAGACCAGGTTGGCCTCAAACTCAAAGATCCACCTGTCTCTGC